TTAAAAAGGAGTGGCTATCCCAAATTTTGTACAGCCATGCACATCAGGCAGAGGATAAGTTGAGTAGTTTAAGGACGTGCAACTGCTTCATTTCTGACTTGGTTTGCAGAGCTGGAGGATTTGTTCCTCCACTTCAAAGCAAATGCATCAGTCTGAGAAGAGCTGATGTTGTACTCACTGGATGCCCGTACGGTTTCCTCCAAATTTTCAGGGGAAATAAATTGTGGAAGTTCATACTTGAAACCCCAAAATTATTCACTCCTATGATATTTGTGCCCTTTCTTCCAGCCTCCTCTAGTATTCATCTRCTTCACTTGTYATGTCTTGTCTTTCAGACTGTAAARTCGTTTAGGAATCAATGACTTAAGTGTCTTTTAAGTGCCTTAAAGTGGCATTTAAGTTACTTGCTGTGCACCTTCTATACTGGGCACTAATTCAATTACACCTTTTTTATGTGCCAGCACAATRCAAGTGTCTAACACCAACAGAATTGCCTATCTGTAAATTAAAAATCTTTTATAGTTACCTGGATCATCTTCCATCATTAGACTTATCTAATTGACTCAATCCCTAGTAAAGCACAGTATCTTCTTTTCAACCCCCTGCTAATGGACTGGGAGAGTTTGTATCTAGCAGTTGTTTGATGCTGGAGTTCTATAGCCAGTGAGCTTTGCAGGGTTCCCTTTGTATTTCTCTTTCCAGGCTTGGAAGCTTTTGTGCACTTCAGTGTGCTGAAACTTGCTTGCATTCACTCTGATGTATTTTCTTGTGGCTTTTTTTTTCCCTGTCTGGTTGCCTTGATAAATGTGGAAAAGCTATCTCTACAAATTTCCATTTTTTCCTTTAAGTTATACCTTGCAGGATTTGCATAATGTATTTTAGTCAGAACACAAACTTGGACTTCAGGACTTAAAACAGATTAGGGGGTTTGAGTTTGCTTTTACCTTAGGCTTCTTACACAGGCATTTAATGAAWTTTTTATGACAGTCTGTGCATTGAGCCCAAGTCTGAATTCTCCCCAAGTGAGCAAAATGAGAGAGGATGCTTACTTCAAGAGAAAACTTTAACATTTTTATTTATTTTTATATGAGGCTTTCTYTTTCACTAAGTAATACCCATCTGAAAAATGCTGTTCAGACACTTTTTCCTCTTCTTGTTTTCTCTTCTGTATCTCCAAACAGCTCCTACCTGGGGTGGCTGTCCTGCAAAGCTGGGAGGTTTGTTCAGTCTCTGCTTCTCCTGCCTGGAGAAAAAGCTCTTCACAGTGAGAATACAAATTCCCACCACAACAGGGCTTGGATTTCAAGTGGCCACAGCACCCAGCAATWGGAAATTTAGGTCAAACCCCAGAGCCCTGTGGTGACCAGAGGTCGCTGAGGCTACACCACTGTGGCAGAGAGGATTCCCTTCAGAGCAGGGAAACTCTCACCACTACTCCAAGTAGTAAGGGGCACCTGGCTCACACAAACCTGGCCTCCAGAACAAGCTGTGGTGGTGCTGAGGATAGGGAGTGGCCCAACAGGATGGGACAAGAGCCCTCCCTGCATTGTGTCCTTGGGCAGTTCCCTCCTCAGAGGCATCTGCCACTGCACAGTGATTGGCTCAGCTAATTTGGACTGACTGTTAGTGTGTAGTGTGTAAACACTTATTTGGATAAATACTTATTTACATAAATATCACTGTGTACCACCAAAATATGAGGTGATAAAAGTGACCCATTGGGATGTTCACCACTCTTTATTTGATTGTGTTGTGGAAGGTGTCCTTGCCTGGATGATCTCTAAGACCCATTCTGCCCCCAAACTATTGTAAGATTCTGCAATTATTTGTTGAAGGYTGAAAAAGGGAAGATCTGTCAGGTGGGATTTTTTTTTCCCTTTTGCCTTTTTTTTCTTTTCTTCCCAAAAGCAGAGTGGCTGAAAAAGGTTTCAGATTGTTTTGATGGATAAACAATGTGATTTATCTGTATCTTGGTTCCTGAGAGTGAGCAATGCAGAAAGCAGTTGTAATTTAATACTAAGCTGATGAGAGGTGCATTGATTTTTACAGCAGGTGAAGATTATGCAARAGTAGCCTCAAGCATTTCTAGTGGAGCAGGGGAGGGAACTGTCTAATTTTTTGCCTGGTGGTGACAGTATAGATTTCTTTCACAAGACTCAGCAAAAATACTGTTCTACAGGCGTCATAGCAAGTTGCTTCAGCTTTTGATTTCCAGTTAACATATCCCGACAATTTTGCTGTATCTGGGTCTTCCTTTTCCTAGGGACTAAGCATGTCTGTTTGTTCTTGTTATTTTAGAAGGAGAAGAGAGGGAAAGGTAGCTTTTATTTTTAGTTCACTGCAAGTACCTTGTGAATATTTCATTTTCCCTTCCCCATTTGGTACACTTCYGTGATGGTGTGAGAAAAGAAAGAACTCATTTTACTGATGAAATATCGATATTTTATTTGCAGAAAACTTGCATTGCTTCTGGGTGGATGTTGCGAGAGAGGGAAGGCGAAGGGAGCCAGGCACATTCCTTGTGGTGGCTTTTTAGCTCCATTCAGTTTAAAGTTAAGCTCTTCCCCAAACTGCCCCTCCTGCAGAACGTGTTGTGGAAAATAGTGGGGAATTTGGGCTGCTGTTTTCATTTATGACTCAGCAAAGTTAACAGACTGTTTTAAATTACCAGAGCAGCTTTGATGTGATTTCCTGCGCGTGAGGAGCGGAGGAAGCCAAACCTATTACGTTACTCSTTACTATTCAGTGTAACAGAAAAGGTGCTCACTCTAAACCTGTTCCAGTGGAATATATCACTCCCATTTATCTTCCTTACATGGACATGGGAATGACAGAGGCAATTGTTTTAATCCTACCCAGCACAGCTCTCTGGGCAGAGTGGTACTTACAGGTGCTGCCGAAAATAAAGTTTCCCTTCATCTGGGCCAGGGAGGCAGCTGGTGATGTTGAAGTGCATCAYCAGGTAAAACTGGTGCCGCTGCAAAGGCTCCTGAGCTGGTGGGACTGACTGTCTCAAAACCCTTGAGCTGGTGCTGGCCCTGCTCCAAGAGCTTTGTTCTCTAAAGGTGCCCTGATGGGGACTCACCCTGGGGCTCTGGAGCAGGTGATGCTGTAGGAGAAGGTGGCTGGGGCTGGTCCAGAGGAGGAGGGATGTCCCCGCAGGGCATCTCCGCTGTGGCGGCTCCGGGAGCTGTGGCGGGCTGGGATGTGCTGGCTCGGTGCGGGCAGGGCTCTGCCATCACCCTGACAGCTTTTTTTGTGCCCTGCCCCATCCCACCGGGACACTCCTCGGGCCGGGATGTGCTGTGCTCGCTCGGTGCGGGCAGGGCTCGGCCATCACCCTGACAGCCAGCTGTCCCTGCCCCATCCCACCGGGACACTCCTCGCTGGTGCTGGGCTCTGTCTGTCCATGCATGAGCCTGCTGTCCCTCTTAGCAGTCCTTTCCCCGAGCAGACCGAGGGGCTCAGTGTCAGCACTTTGGTTTCTTTAAAAGATAAATATCTACCAAGCGAGGCACTAATACTGCAGGGTCCAGATTCCTTCCCGTCTCCTCTGGTATGCTCCATTTTGTCSGTCACCAAGCCTCCATGGGAGAGACGCATTATAACTCTGCTGAAATCAAAATCCGGTATGCAAAGGCATCACAAGTAATGCTATCCCTGAAGAAGGCTTCTCTCCTTTTTTTTCTTTGGCTGTTCGGAGGAAAATGCCGCTCTCGTGGCACCAGCTGGCTGTCTCTGCCCATAAACCTTGGTTTTTGCTGCCGTGAATCAGGATATAGAGGGAAATTTTTTCGGTAGCGGAGGGAAGCCGGCAGTTGGGCGTCTGTTAATAGCCTGAAAGTAACTAATGAGGATGTGCAGCCGGAGCGATTGATTGAGGAGCTGCAGTCCTGGGCGCTGCTGCTCCGCTCGCTCGCTCCATCCAGCCCGGCGAGGGAGGGCGGACCGAGCCACCCGCGCTCCCCTGAGTGGAACCACGGATCCCCAGGGCCGGCCACCGATGGAAGTTTAAACTGCRTCTGGCTCTTGAAAGGAAAACGGCAGGAGTCAAAATGTCACTGCCYGGAGTCACGGCTTGCTCCTTTGCTTTAAGATTCGGAAGATAACAATGGACTTTCTGCTAGGAAGTGATTTTTTCCCTCCCCGTGTTGGGGGRTGTTTTGTGGAGCTGGATTCTTTAAAGTCTGGCAATTGAGCTGGAGATGGGCAGCACTTGTGATAAAGGTATCTGTATGCATACATATGCATATCTAGCTCTRTATAAAAATGCATATATGTATGTTTGTGGAGAGATTTTTAATGCTGTCTGTACTTTATGATGCTATTATTCTAGTATTTGTACTAGTCAAAGACATCAGTGCAGCTTTTATGAATGTTTGTGCTCATCAGATCAGTCTGCATGGATTTAAGATGCCAAAGTCGTCTCTTAGTAAGGTCATACTGCCAGAATGAGGAGAAGTTGACCTATTTTTTTTTTTTTTATCTGCAGAGATATATGTCATATTACCCAGGCATTTATAAGTCTTCTGCTGGTTGCATGCTTTGAGCAAGTAGTGTGATCATACACGACCGAACTTTGACCTTTGCCGAATTACATTCATCTGTGACTAAAACTGAGCTTCCCTGGGTCTTGATTGTAGTTGTCTGTTAATTACTGCACTGCTTACGTWAAAAAAATTAAATTTAAAAAAATAGATTTAAGTTCTTTGAATACTGAGTCTCAAACAGTAACAGAATATTAAGTATGTCTGGGTATTGAGCTTTACCAGCACTTTTTATTTTAATCTACTGTCAAGTTAAATTCCCAACCTTGAACCTGACAGTGAAAATGCCAYTGTAGTTTAGTAAGTGAATAAGATACAGGTAAATAGGGGGGTTAATTCAGCAGTTTAGTAATGCACGTGAAACTTTCCTGGGGCTTTTGTCCTACAGAGCACAAAACTGACTATTCCCCACCCCCGGGCTCCCATTCATTACCTTCTTCTTCTCTCCCTCAGAGGTCCCAGCAGAGAGATCTCCCCGCAGACGGAGCATCTCCGGGACCAGCACCTCTGAGAAAACCAACTCCATGGATGTTCCGAACACTTCTCCTTTCAGAGTACCAGTAAGTGTGCCTTCCCTRCCAAGGGCCATTTGTCTCGTTGGATGGGAGGAGGAGGAAGTTAAAATATCACAGTGTACAACCATGCAGGGGGAGCCTGGGGGGAAAGGAATATTTGGTTAATATTTCCAATTGACCAAGAGATTTTGCTATCAAATGTCATATATTATCAATAAGATTTCTGGTAGATCCTGACTTGCTCTTTTTCATTGCCTTGATCTGAAGTTGCAGATAGAGAAACATCAGTGTTAATGTGGGCAGCGACCTATATAAATACTTTTGAAGTCWCCTCCAGGGATTGCATTCCGTATTCAATCTTCACAAGGAAACAAGTTGCTTTAAACTGGTGATAGCATGTTATTTTCCCCTCTTGCCAATGAAATACATGGAAAATTGAAATGATTTTATGGTTTATGCAGAAGCTTCTTGATGACATTTCTGCAGGTGTGTTAATTGCTGTTTAGCTCTTTGGACTTTGTCTTGAGTTTGGTTGGCTGTGAGTCTGCATTAGAGTTGTTCAGCTATAGCCTCTGTTTTTGCTTGGGTCAGTCTGTGGTCAGTGTATCCAGAAGCACAAAGGCACTTCTATTATTAGRCTGAGGTCAAATGCTTCAAGTTAATATAAGGTGCTCAGTAATTTTTAACAATATTTTTTTGTGTTTTAAAATATCTAACTTGCRAATGTTTTCATATCCTTTTTTACTTTTGTCAGGTAATCTGCCTACCTAAAAATAAATCATGTAATTTYAAAAATAAAATTTAAAAACAGCCAAAATATTTAATGAGAGTTGTTTAAATTATTTAAGGATTAAGGTTGGTCAGTGTATAGAATACATGTGTTTAAGCAACCTCTGAACTCATGGTGTATTGGAATGGAGAAAGGGACCAAGGAAGCAGTGAATACACTGAGTATCCTTACTTGGTGTCTTTTCAGAGTCACAGAATAAAACAGATTGGAAGGGACTAGACAATCTCCAGAGGTGCTTTCCCATCTCAGCTATTCTGTGTTCTGTGAATGATCCTCTGYCACTTCAGAGACCTGTTTTCTGGACAGTACAGGGAAAAAGGGGCCTTGGTCTAGTTGTGTGTGARCCTGATACAAGAACATTCTGTTATGTCAGGTTCTGAGATTTTTATACTGAGCCTATGGTCCACAGTGTTCTGGAAAGATTTCTGAAGTCTGAGAGCCTTCAAAAGTTTTACCCTTGTCTTCATTTATAAGAAATTCTCTGTTTTCTTTGCCTTCATCTATAAGTAAAATGCCAAGCCTTTGGATGTATACATGCATTGTTGTAGCCTCTAATAACCTCAGGCTGTSTATCAGAAGTGTGTCTGTATTTTTTATTTGATATGCCTCCATTTTCCCTCATTTTTGTACCATTCCTTTAAACAATGATCCTATCTTTTAAGTAATATTTAATAGYTCTCTAATTCTTCTGTAATAGTTCTCTAATACTTCTTATCTCCTGCTCCTTTTCAAAACAAGAACCCTTCAGAATGTTTCTCATTTCAAAGTTGGGCTTTCAGGACTCTGGCAAATAGGCTCAGGAAGCAGTACCTGGCTGCTTTTCTTGGGTACAAACCAGCAGAGAGCTAGAAGCTATTTGTGCCACGTGGAGCTGGATTCTGCTGCTTTGTCTGCCTGACCACCTGCACACCCAGGAGCATAATGCACCCTCCTGTCCTCCTCCTGGGARCRAGGCTTCTGCCTTTGGAGGTTTTATTCTCAGAAACCCATTTATACCCTGTTACTCCTAAGAGGGGGCTGAGATCACTCTGTTTTAAAACATGGCAGCTTTTGATCTGTTTAAAAGAGCAGGCTGCAATTAGAAGTCAGCTTGCTTAACAATACAGATGAGCTCCAGCCAAAACTGCTGAAACCAAACACTGTTAACGTGGTGGGTTGGCACACATCTAATAGGTGGCTGAGAAGATGGGGAGGAATCATATTCCTGCCTTTGACTGATAATAAGAATTTCCCAGCTCTCARTAGTAGGAAAGGTGACTTGGATGCCTCATGGAAGTCTCAGTCTCGGATCACTGATCTGAGAAGAGCTTCAAGGAAAGGATTCAAGAGGTGCCTGTAATGGCTTCAAATTTGTGTCTGGGAGGTTRTTTCTGTTTGACAGGGATTTATTCTATATATAAAGGAGATTAACAGTAAGTGAACTTGCTTTTTTGTTTTTCCAGACATTGTCACCTGCAGTGCAGGTTGGAGGGCTACAGGCAGCTGCAGCATAGTGCTGTCTCAGTTATTCTTCCCGTGGCCCTGACTCTGTGCCATACCTCGTCTACTCACTGCTTGGATTTCTAACAGAAAGCAGCTTAAGGCAGGGGACAGCTTAACCTTCTTCCATCCTGAYGGAAAATTATGCTGAGACTTTCATAATAAGTTGCTTTTACAGCTTTTTAAGTTTGCCTCTCAGAACAGCTATTTAAAAGCTGTCTTCTCAATAGAACAGTGGCTTCCAGCATGTTCTGTGCAGGTTTTTTCCTTTCAAGCACAGGCAGTGGTACTCACTCAGAACAAGGCATCTGTTTTTTTAATACTGCTAATTGGCATTGCTGTAGCATCTGGAATTTTGATTCATACCAGCATAATTGCCTTTAAGCAAACATTTCCTTGACAATACATTTTTTAAGTAGCTTCTTCAGCGGCRGTGGTCAGTGAGGGATTTATTTTTAAAGCTGATGTGTAAAGCTCAGGAAATTTGCCTTTCCATCTCCTGCATGGGTACTGGAGGAAAATATGTATGTTCAAATTTACTAGTGTGTGAAGAGCAGMATTTCAGTAGTTATACTCTTTCCTGGGATGAACCACTGCATGGACCAGCATGTGCTGTATGTTTGTGAGGGTGATGAGGCCCCTGGCTCAGGTTGCCCAGAAAAACTGTGGGTGCCCCATTCTGGAAGTGTTAAAAGCCAGGTTGGACGGGGCTTGGAGCAGCCTGGGATAGTGGAAAGTGTCCTTGCCCATGGCAGGGAGTTGGAACAAGTTGGTCCCTCCCAACCCCAACCATTCTATGATTCCATAATTTGTTCTGGTTATCTCCCACCAAGGGRAGTAAAGGGGATTCTGCTAATGTTGACACTACACMGYACACACTACACTATACAGAGAGAARAGCTCTTGGTGCTTGTCCTTTCTTTTTATTCCCCATTGCCCCAAATTTTCTTGTCTGCACTTAAAGCCCTCTCCATCTAGGTTCAGTTGTGGACATTACTGTATGATGATTTCCAGGTGTATCAGGGAGAAATATTGAGAGAGAAGGGAAGARCACAAAAGTTAGGAAAACAGAAATGAGGAAATGTGTCTTCTCACATATAGACGGATGTGTGCTGTTTATTAGATACATATATAGCAAAAGTCATATTTGTAATAATGGATATTATTTGACTGAACAAATAGGGAGGCAGAGGGAACTGGCTCCAAGTAGGCACTGTGACGCATAGGTGGGYGAGGAAGCAGCTTTTCCCTTCCCACACACACCATGTCCTGGCAGCGCTTGGACTCTGTGCATCCCGTTCCCTGCAGTGGCACTGTGCAGCCCCGGCAGCACTGCTCCAGCCTGACACATTCCCTCACTGCTCTGCCCTTGGAACCAGGGGAAATGTGGGGCTGGCCACATCCTCAGACCTCCTGCAGTGGCAGGATGGAGAGGAATCTCTAAATCACCCTTCAGACTTTCACTGCGCTCTCCAGTTTTGGCTCAGAGYTGTTATTACAAATAATATGATTCATCCATGTCTGCTGGAGAATGGGGGAAGAAAGATGAGAAAGAGGCAAAGAAGCAAGTGTGAATGAGACAGGAAAGCCAGAGCAGAACCTCTGAAGTAAATAGAATGATTTTTATAGGAAGTCTGATGTAGGATACTTGCAGATTGCCTTCCTTGGTTACTTTCTGGCTGAAGGTATAATTGGATCTATAGAAATGCTGTCTGCCTCTTTGCTCTTTAAGAGTACTGCTAAACGGAACAGAAGACAATGCAGCCAGCCCAAGTGAAGGTCAAAGCTTGATGAGATCTTGTGGCTGCCCAGCCTCATCTTTTATGCAGTCAGCAAGATYGTTGCTTCCTCCAGAGCACTGCTCTGCTCCCGCCACACTGCCAGGGTAGGACAAGTCTGAGCTGTGCTGCCCGTGTGACCCCATGCCATACAAATACACATTTTTTAATTCTGCATCAGTGCCAATGCAGAGATGAAATTGTTGATTTGCATTAGTGTGAGGCACCACAGCATCCTGCGTGAAAAACTGGCTGTGCTCAAATCCGTCCCCTCAATACAGAAATATTTTTCCTTCCGCTTTCTACTCTTTCCTTCCTGTGACRTGTTTGTTTGAATCTGCTCTAGTTTTTGTCACTCACCTGTGATGTGATGGCTACTCTGTGAATTCTGTGTCAGAAGGCATAAATGGGTGACTGACTATCTCCACGCTTGTATCCRTACCTTTATTCTGGGATAGTGCTGTTCACAGGCTCTATAACCTTCACAGTGTCTTGCTGCCAAAGCAGATTTGTTCATTACATCAAACTTTATTGTTGAGTCAGATGATGGGGATATCCAGGCTCTGACACTGTCTGGTGGACCTTAGCAGCAGGAACATTATTCTCATGTTTGGTGTAAACCTGACTTTATCCAATTCCTTTCATTCCTTAGTTAATTTAGGGGAGCTATGAATGTGCATAGCTTTAAACACTGCTCACATTCCGGTTGTCCTTGGCTTAGTAGTATTTAAATATGCACCGACTCATTTTATTCTTCACCTCCAAATCATGACTTAGTCAAGTTATGCAAAGTTTAATTAATGCATCCTCTGCAAATGAGTCCTTCTGGCCCTTTTATCACTTTTCTTGCTCTTGTGTTTTTAATTCCCTTCAACTGATTCTCCCAAGTTCTGGTACTAAAGTTCACAGGAATATGTGTTACCAGTTTCTAATTGCTCCCAACCCTTTGTGTTATTTCTGTGTCCTCCCTGGCCCTCGCTTCACCTCCTAATTTAATA